CCGTGAAACCCGGAAACGGGCGCCGAAGAGCTGCGCTCTAAAACACTAGAGGCACCAGCGTTCCTCAAGCTCCCCCTTTCATTTGTCATGGTGTAAGCGCACGAAATATGTCATAATCAATCTTCTATCCTTAAAAGTTTTTTTTTTTTTTGTCTTTACAGGACTTGGGAACACAATGCTTGTCTATCATGGCTCAGTAGAAGCTCGGCATTCCTGTAATCGGCTGTCACTCCTTATAAATGAGAATGTCATCGATAGCAAAAAAAAAAAAAATAGTTTTACGATGTTTGTTTTACAGCGAATCTGTATATGGCTCGTTGGTCGGGTTTCTTCGTGTCCGTCGACAGAACAATAGTCGACAGACAAAATAGCGGTCAGAAAACCCACGCGCGCCTTATTTCTGACCATGTGGTTTTAGCACTTGTGTCCATCAGAAAACCACAAGACAAGTGTCGAAATTACATAGTAGATGATATGGACGTAGAACTCCCTGCGTGCGTTTCTCAATAAAAATAGCGGTTGCATCAGCTGCCGACTCAACGGCAGACTACGAAGTGGGGTGTAACGTCACTTGCCCCGCTAACATATGCGAAGCTCGTAGCGTTCCCCGCATGCGTCTCGCGGTAAACATTGCGGTTGCATAAGGTGCCATGGCAACGGCAGCGTACGAAGTATTTCATATATGAAAAGAAAAGTTTCGGTACAGTGCATTTACTTTTCTTCGGTCAATCATTTGGTGTAGAGCCTCTTGCTACAAAAACATGAACTGCCGCTTGCGTCCCAAGCGACTTCCGGTCGCATCGTCTTTGCAAGCCTGTAGAGCCTGCATATGCCCACCAGTGCTAGAAGGCATAAGTGCTACAAGAACAACAAATCTGGAGATTCAACGAGGGGTTTAGGCTGTACAATATTACACCAGGAGGAGTCAAGTTGGTGTACAAGAATACTCCAAACATTTTAACGAATCTCGCACTCCTTCGTTTTTTTTGTCGTTCACCTGGAGAATCGGTGATTAGATGTTTCATCTACATTTCAAGCAGCGGTGTTAAGGTGGCCCAGTTGTTATGGCAAGTCGTCATTCATTCTTTTCATAAACCGGATGTTCTCTGGAACGTGAAAGACAGGAGCACCAACTGGTGGCGTTTGCCATAAAAAGGGTCTATAGTGCAGTGGGCAACCGTTGCAGGAGATACTACAGTTTTGCTGTCCAACGAACTTCGTAGCGTTGATTGGAGCCTTAATTTTTTTTCTTAAATTTCAAATTAACATTGCGGAAATTAACAAAAATAGCATATCAAGATAAAGATGGACGTGCGGCCGTTTCTATGGCAAGGGATAACGAAAGGGGCGTGATAATTTTATATTTCTTGTAATCTTTATAAATAATTTTTGAAAAACGAAAACATGAATACTGCAATGACTTTTCTACTGCCTAGCCTTTTCCCCTTTAAGTCGAGACGATGGAAATAAACAAATGCAGAACGTATATTTAACAGATGTAATTTTTGCACCTCCGACAAATAAAATGTTATGATCCGCTTCTAGTGTGAAGCAATGTGCTGCGAGCGAAGAGTCTAGAAACTGAATATATATATATATATATATATATATATATATATATATATATATATATATATATATATATATATATATATATATATATATATATATATATATGCCCGATAAAAACGTTCAACGGGCCGGTTGGACGTAAAGCGAAAGTGGAGGAGTTCCAGGAAAGGCCTGTCTTTACTGTACCAACGTTTCAAGCGGGGACCGCTTTTCTTTCTGAAGAAAAGCGGTCCCCGCTTGAAACGTTGGTGCAGTAAAGACAGGCCCTTCCTGGAACTCCTCCACTTTCGTTATATATATACATATATATATATAACGGGCATGGTGGCGGGAGGCCAAAGGCGTGGGTATAAAACCGAGAAGAAAAAAACCCTTAGTGAAAAACAGCAACAACGGACGATTTAATCTTCGACGTTTCGGCCGGAGTCCGGCCTTCGTCAGGAAGCTGACGAAGTTATATATATATATATATATATATATATTCCGTCATGCGTTATTCCGTTATATATATATATATATATATATATATATATTCCGTCATGCGTTATTCCGTTATATATATATATATATATATATATATATATATATATATATATATATATATATATATATATTCCGTCAGGAAGGCCGGAGTCCGGCCTTCCTGACGAAGGCCGGACTCCGGCCGAAACGTCGAAGATTAAATCGTCCGTTGTTGCTATTTTTCACTAAGGGTTTTTTTCTTCTCAGTTTTATATATATATATATATATAACGGCTAGTAAATATTATTCCAAGGATATGCTAATTATCGATAAGAAAACAAGATTGAAGAAAATAAAATTGTATGCTGCAACGACTGCTAACTTTCAGGTAAGAGTAAATTTTAATTGCATTAAACACAACCAAAAGTAGGTGGTATTTTCTGTGCCTATTTCTTTTCTAAAGCAGGGTATTTTCGCCAAATAGAAGGCCCTAGTAACGCTATACTATTAGTAATTTAGAGGATATGTTTCGACTCAGAGACACAATTAGACAAGCTATTAATGTACTAGGTATTCGTTTTAGATACACGGAAACTCTTCAGTAGAAGAAATTTCAGGGGAGAAAAAGTTGTCGTAAGCTCATTCAACTTGCGCAAGTGAAGATTATAAACGCACACAAAATAAAATAAAAGTAATGGCTACTTCGGCTCGATTGCTAGAAACTAATAAAATCACTAATTATTTTATCTGATTGCTAATTTTAAAACTCAATATTAACAGACTCTTTGTCATATGCGTTTCTTCAAACTGTTATCGGAACTGCTTGGTAGTTTAATGCAACATATTTACTTACAAACTATTTGGAACCTCTCTTGTTGAGAAATCCGGCAAGTAATATAATATATGCCGTTTTTTAGCGCAAATGTCGACTTTTCTCTACTTCACAATGACAGACAATCCGCAACTCGCTCAGTACGAACAAGACTATCTTTACTGATGGGGCGATCAAATCACGGCCTGATTCCTCGAAAGTTTTTGAGGTTGAAGAGTTATTTCCCTATACAGACGGCGCATGGGAAAGCCCTTGACATGATCTTCATCATAGCAAAAGTGCTTGATTTCATCATAAATACAACGCAAGAGTCATAACATTACAAAACGCGCAGTAAAATTCGGTAAGCATTTGGTTGTTTATTACTTACAGCGTAAATAGACAGTACAATATTTGGTTGTCCGCAAAGATTATAGTAAAAATGAAATAAATATAAACTTTATATATAGAATACCAACGCTGAAGTTTCGCTGAACTGCCCTGAGTATGTCCAATATCTCCGCGGCCCGAGATTACGAAGTTTTACTTCATTGTTTTTCAATCCTTGTGCTATTATATTTACACAATGTTACGCAATGTGACAATATTTGTTGCCGCCATTATCCTCTCATCGAGTATTCGCTATTCGTATTTTAATTTCTTATTTCTTCGTAATTAATGCCTCGCTTTTTCATTCAATGTAAAAAAAACCCTGTTGTATTTCTAAATTCCTAACCTGGAAAATGCCCTGACGAAAACAAAAAACCCGCCGAATATGAATTAAAGAAATTGGATAAGACCTTTGCCGGAAAAGGGGTGTCAAAGAAAATTTAAGGCAAGAGTAGACTAACCCTGTTGAACCATACCTAAGATATGGAGGAATATTATTTTTATTGAAAGTGAACATGTTACCCGGGCTCCTATGAGACTTTATTTTTTGTTATTTTTAAAGCGGATTGTAAAATTGCGAACTGCATTATTTTATGCCGAGGCAACTATACAGTTGTGACACGTACTTGGGTAGTTTAACTAACCAATGACACAAATTGCAACGAAAACAGAGGTGTGGGTGCTCCTCTTACTTTCTTCGGTAAAAGTATTTGGAATTTATAATGATAAACTGCCACTGAGGCAGTTTATCGATGTACGCTACCTGTTGATGGTGGCGAAAAAGAGGATATTAGAACGAAAATGCGCGCACGAACATCTTCCCATATACTAATTACTCTTTTAATTAATTTTCACATCTCCACAATGCGAAGATACGAAGAGCAAAGCGGAAGGGAATACTCCACACTTCTATATATTTTGATCACGGGGGATGGCCCCTTTATTCCCTCATCCCTGTACTTTTTAGTGATTCTCTCAAATACATGTCTTCATTAAAGGTATAATTTACGAATCCACCAAATATTAAAAAAATATCTTCACTCGAGATCTATTTCTGGTGATGTTGGGATTTGGATTATAAGAAATAATATGTCTGATTTAAGTTATGATTTATATTATGCTGAGAATTACTATTGTTACTAATGCTGTTTATATTTCAATCCTGCATGCAAACTCCTAACATAAGTAATTTCGCTCCAGAAACATGGAGAATTATTCTTTTCATATAAACTTCTGCATTAAGCATTTCAAATGCAGTAATACAGCCAGAAATAAACAACGAAAACGATATGCAATTGACTTGGAATGTTTTTCTTTATATATATATATATATATATATCTTGTAACTTCCCTTGATATTAATGAAGGGGAGGAGTGAACAAAATAAACGACATGCAAATACCAAGATTTCGGCTCATTTCAGTTCAAAATGGACTTTAGTCTTAACAAAAATCAAGTTTTTAGTGTCCTAGTGAACTACCGGAAGCGTTTCAAGTGAGAAGGAAAATCAACATTATAAATGAGAACAATGTTTAAAGCACGAATAATCAAGCGCTGAAATGTGCATCATGACTTTAACAACTGCATTGTCCTATGAATAGATTAAAGTGTGACACAAAAGCATGTCGGAAATGTGATGTTTAACACTCATTAAAGGTGCTCGTAAATCAAAACGCTCGTTGCTAATGCCAAACGCGTTGATGACAGAAGAATAAAGGAAGCCTTGTCATGCGAAATGGCTTTAAGAAAGCGGCTTTAAAACTTCACAAAATAAGCACCGATAGAAGTTCGTCCATGCATTACGAATCAAGACCATCGTACGATGTGTACCATTTTGTTCGTTCTTGTCTTTGCGATTTTCGGTCATGTTCTTTATTGCAAGCAACGTGAGTACAATGCGCAACCTATAGAACATTTAAATGCCTAGCTTTGTAATTTGTCCAGCGTTTTTATGCTGGCGCTATATCGGGACACGATTAGTGATGGCAATATATATGACTCGAAACTCGCACTTGCCGCAAGGTGACATTGAATGTAAAGAAATTACTTCAACAAAGGTCATGCACCAATAAAATATTGGAATCTCAAGTAAGACGTGACTAGCAAATTCTGCGTATATTCAAGAACCTGCTTCAGTTTATTGAATCTATTTATGTACTATAGTTTAATGCTGGTGGCATACAATATTTGTTCAAGTTTTGTTTGGCCACAAATTAGGACGTTATTGGCTGAAGTAATGTCCGCATGATTACAACTCGGAATACCTTAAAATTGGATTTCGTTAGATTTCAGACGTCCTTAGACTAGAGTATTTTAGCAATATTATCACAATAATTGACAATAAGTATATTGCCATTAGATTTCTCAAGTGCTACAATCATCTTCTATGCTCTTTTTGTTCACATCGTGCTGAAAAAGTTTCTCAACATAAACATAAAGCATACTTTTTTTTAATTTAAAACTTAAAACTCTTAAAACATTTAAAAATCATAATAAGCGACCTACAAAAATCTCTTCAAGCAACACTGCGCACGTGCATGCTGGGAACCAGTTGGCTACGGAACAGAGTGGCATGGTTTCGGTTTCGATAAGACAGGCGCTCTCTGTTCTGCTGCAGTCAAGCACGTGAACTTCGAAGCCTGCACAACTTTTCTCTACGCGCATACGAACGTACTAGCACGACAGGGGCACCAGAAGGGACGTTGCAATCTATCGCTCTACATTTGCCTACCCTTGCCCAAAATCCGGCACATCGATAACCGCTAAAACAGTGCCAAGTCTTGTTGTTGTCTTTTTCAGTATCTCGGCAACGCCTACAGTATTGTACACTTGTAGGAAGTCGCAGCAACAAAAACGAAAGCAGCGTGATTTGTCACGACACGATGATCGTGACAAAATCTGAAACTGAAACCGAGACTAAGTGGCCAACTGGTACCCAGAATTCATTTCGTGCCACCGTGCCACAAGGGGCCCTTCTATTCGGGAAATGATCTATTGGAATGTCATCGGGGACTGTAATTAAAGCAATTATGTATATTAAATTAACTCACAAACGAGAAAATGGCTTCCACTTTCGGGTGTCCGGAAGGTTTGTGGCGCTTGTCTTCCGCCGTCCGCCTCGATGCATCAACCAGGCCAGCCAGGAATTCAACGGAGGGGTTTTATTACCAAGAACTTTATTACCTTAAGGAAATTGAATTACTGCAGACATGAGAACGGACACGGCGTATAGTTTCTTTAAATTTATAAATGAACGGAACAAGCGCACGTTTATACAACAAAAATGATTCCCCCATATAGTCAAAATCAACAGTTTTGGATCTGTTACGAATGCAGAGCACGGTGCTTTCAAGAAACACACATTGACTTTTGCGTGTATTATACTTGACTTTTTTAAGTTCATAAATGCGTTATCATAGATATACCTTGCGCATCTTATTGGATCACCATCACTTAGCCACTATTACTTAAGCGAAATTGCGCTATCATAAATATTTGGCCACCCAACCCTCGTGTGCCACAGAGTCATCTAGATACTCAATGTGCGCCAGTGCTAATGACGATTTCTTTCCTCAGACGTATCTGGTACGCCGACGGCGTAAATAGTCACAACTTGCTATAAAATCAAGCGCAGAATTTGTGCACATAATGATGGCACGGAGCTAGGTAGTAAAAATTAAAGAGGTTTATAAATTTCTGTAATGCGAAGTTAGAGCGCAGCTCTGAGGAGGGGGAGGGGAGGGTACGGAGGGGAAAGTATACTCCTCCTCTGTACGGTCTCCTCCTCCCCTCCTGCTTCTCCCCTCCTCCTCCTCTCTTGTTCCCTCCTCACTTCCCTCTCATTTTCTTTTACTCTTTCTCTCCTCCTCCCCGTACCCTCCCCTCCTCCTTCTCTATACCCTCCCTTCCTCCCAGTTTCCCCTCTAAATTTAGCTGACAAATTGACACCACGTGACCTCAACACCAATTCAGTTTCTCCGCTATATTTAGCGGGAAAAATGACGTCCCCCTATTGAAAAAAATCTAATTGGTATGATAAATTGCTGTGTCCGAGGAACAGATATGAATCGTAGAAGATATACAAGAACTTATAAAAGATATTAGAACATATAAGAACCATATAAGAAACTTGAGAGAAGTTTCTTAGAAGTTTCTCATAGGGTTCTTATATATCTTATATAGTCTATGGTTCTTATATGGTCTTCTACGTCTTGTATGATTCATATGGGTCATTCCATGTCAAACGTCCCAGACGTCGCGCTCGACCACCGCCGATTTCTAGAAAAAATATTCATGGCCTTCTGCCGTAATCTCCGTAGCCATTCCTTAAAATATGTTTGTCGAAAACCTTTTTTTTATGACGTGACCGCGGCTTTAAGGTTTAAAAAGAGCGCGAAACTAGGCATCACTCAATAATTTATGAAAAATCATTTTTTTGATGAAACACCCAACAATATTTTTTTTTCTTAAATGTGCACAGCTTTCGACTTCCAATGTGGTTGGACTTGTGCAGTTTTGTCCAATATAAATATAAAAAACGAAAATTTCTCGAACATGTAAATATTTTTATTATTTTATTGAAAATATTGAATTGCCTTCGGGACTTAATTAAACTTTTTACCGGCTGCCCCTGCAGGTATATAATATATAAAAATGTTTAAAACCGCGTACTAAAATATATTTCAGTAAAAAAAAATCCTGAATTTGCAAAATAAAAGTGCGCTTTGGCGCATAACAGCCGTTTATTTGACCCTGACGTGTTCCAAGTAGAAATACAAAATGTAGTGTGTTTGGAAGAACGATCGATTGTTTTTTGATTCTGAAAGTTTGATCGAAGTAATTTTTGTTTAAAGCGAGAAAACAATTTTTGAAATTGAACTCTCGCACCAGAACCCGGAGTCGCTTTTTTCCGCCTCTTTTCCGCACAGCACTACGACGATAGCTGACACGATTAGGTCCAAAGAAAGAACGGAGTTTGCTGCCGCTTCCCCTTGTCCGTCTTTCCGGCTGCAAGGAAAAAAAACGGCGGGTATCGTGTAATAATCGGAAATGCCGCCAGCGCGTAGCCATCGCAGGCCCGTTGTGCCCTTCGCACCCGAGGGCGGCTCAAAACGCGATACTTTGTTTTTAAAACAAAATATTTAAACAGAACTGCACAAGCCCAACCACATTGTAAATAGAAAGCCGTGAAAATCTAAGAAAAAATATTTTTGGGTGTTTCATTGAAAAGCAGATTTTTCATCACTTATTGAGTGATACCTAGTTTCACGCTGTTTCCAAAAGTTAGAACAGCGCTCACGTCATCGAACATTTTTTTCGTCAAAAATATTTCAGGGCGTGGCTACGGACAATATTGGAAAAGGCCATGAGTTTTTGTTTCAGAAATCGAAGGTGGTCGAGCGCAATGTCTAGGACGTTTGACATAGAATGGCTTTCTCCCTCGGGCACCTATGAACGAATTTAGTTTCTACAGTATATTTGGCTGCAACATTCTCTTCACGTGACGTCAACACCAATTCCATTCCCGGTGAAATTCAGCGGGGAATCGAATTGGTTTCGAGGTCACGTGACGTCGATTTTCCACCTTAAAGCAATCGGAGAAACTGAATTTGTACGCTAAATCTATAGGAGAAATGAATTTCCCCGCTAAATTTATCGCGGAATTGAATTGGTGTTAAGTTCACATGACGTCAATTTTCCCGCTCAATTTAGCGCGGTTACGTCGACGCCGACGCCTCGAAACACGGAAACAGATGTCTAAGAGCTGAGCTCTAAAACAAGCATCAAACGACACTTATCAAAGCAAGCCAAAAAAGCGCGGTAAAACGCGACGAAAAAAATTAAAGGCGTTTTCAAATATCTGTAACGCGAAATTAGACTGCAGCCCTTGAGGAGGAAAAGGGAAGGGCACAGAGGGGGAGGTATGCACTTCTTCCTCCTCCCCTACTACTTCGCCTTCTCTCGCCCTCCTTTCTTCCTCCTCCACCTCCCCCTCCTTTCCTCCTTTTCCTCCATTTGTTTCCCTTCTTCTCCTCCTCCCCACGTGACGTCAATTTTCCAGCTAAATCTAGCGGCGAAAGTGAATTTGTTCATACGTGACGTGACACCGAGTCATGTAACGTCATTTTCCCCGCTTAATTTAGCGCGGTTACGCGGACGCGGACGCCGCTCAACCCAGGAACGGGCACCTAAGAGCTCGGCTCTAAAACACAAATACAATGCCTTCGCCAGGGCGCGGAGGGGAGAGTGGAGCAACGATCTGAAGCCAACTCATGGCGGCCGCGTCACGTGATTCCAAGATGGCAGCGCCCATGCGATGAAGGGTGAAAAGGTTTGTAGCCGGGATGGCCCGGCGGTGTTCTTTATGTAGGGTGGTTTTCCTTTTAGCCTGTTCTCGTTCCAACCTTCTCGTGTGGACCTTCTCAAAAGGATCGTCCTCAAAACCATGTTCTCGGTTGGGCCCGCCGCATTTGGTCCGTTGTGCATCCTTCGCGTTTCATCCTCAAAAAAAAAAAAAAAAAATCAAGTTAGGGTTTTTTGAGGTTTCGGTAATATGGCTTAGAGACAGTATAACCTCCAAAAACTGCTTAAAGTGCGCCCCCCCCCCCTCCCCACACACACACACTTATTTCCTTACACGCACTCGCTCAGATACACATGCTCACGTACTTTGGTTTGGGTCCTGCGGGTTGGGAAATTACTCCTGGAATACATTCTTTCTGCTTTTGAAACATCCCCGAAGGTCAAGTCTCGCTTGTTCTGTAGTCCGGAGGTAGTCTCAGGCGCAGCAAAATAACCCACCGAATTGATATTTTATGTGCAAACAAGCTTTCTATGTCCCCCATTTTCCCACTGCGCGGGAGGATAAAAAACGGAGTGATTTCCC